ATGGAAATAGGGAGTTTTTGCATACGTTTGAGACGTTTTACGAGGCATTGGAATGGTGTGAGAATGAGTTGTTGAGGGCATATTATGTGAGGCCAGCAACACATGTAGTAAAACCCAACGAACGCGGTGAGTTCCCGAATAGTTTGCAGATAATTAAACGTGTATTCGAATTGATAAGCTAATTATTTTATAACATCACTAGAAGTAGGGCTTACGCTTCCACCGCACACTCAACCAAAAGCTATTAGTGAATTTCACTCCCCCAGACAAAAATTGGTTGAAGCTGCCGGAAAAATCACCCTACAAGGTAAATATAATATTTTAATTGACTATATCAAAAGAGCCGCATTCGTTCGACCTAACAGATGCAATTTTTCTACAATTTCTGTTACAAGATGACAACATGCATCAGCAACGAAGCACACAACCAATTGATCTTCTTCGCAATGCACTCCAAGAGTTAACCAATGCTGACGACGACTTTTACACGCGCCTATCCAAATACTTCCATAGAGTCAATGTCCCCGCTGGTGCTATACTCTGGAGACAGGGTGATGCTCCAGATTGCATGTACCTCGTTGAGCGTGGCTCGCTTCGGGCTACATTCCGAGTAGAGGAGGGTAACCCAGCTCGGCAAGTAGAGAGTATTTTGGCGGGTACTATGGCGGGTGAGCTAGGATTCTTTGCTAATCGTCCACGTGATGCGACATTGGTCGCAGAAATGGATTGTGTGTTGTGGCGGATGGCTGACACGGATTACGAGACGTTGATCACAAAGGATCCGAAGGTGGCCAATTTGTTTATTAGAGTGTCATTGAATTTCTCGGCTGAGAGACTTGCTACTATGTTGCAACATGCATTCCATTTGGCATAGTGGATTCCTGGTATAATTTAAGTCATAAACTATTGTTCAAAAGATACATTTTATCATTGAAATATCTATACATTTAACATTATACTCTAAGATAGAGTCAAAAAGGCCAAAGGCTGTTACATTTATGTTTAACAAAAAAAAAAGGACTTTCATCAATTCATATAACGGTCTCAATAAATCTCGTATTTATTGGTTAGAGATGCCTGACTAGAATAATAAATTGTGTATTTTCGACCATTAAAGTGTTTTGGTCTGCCAGGGAAGTATGGGAAAAACTACTTTGCCAAAACTTTGGCTAATGTAAATGCCCATGGGTGAGTCTGTACCTTTTTGGCTGAAGGTACGCCACAATTATTGGAACACTGAAAATTACAAGTATCCATCCTTAAAGGATACTCGTTCAAGTTTAGATCCATAGACTGGACGTTGTGCACTGTGTATTATACTTATACAAAAATCGTATAATAATAATAAAAGCTCTTTTGAAATCATACTCGATATTTCAAATATGTTGTGTAACAGATGATTTTAAATTCACGCACTGTTCCGAATTCTCACACTTGAATTGATTGTGTAGCATCTTGTTTTTTCGCAGAACGGATGAACTTTTTTAGTATTGTTTGCACAGTGTGCAACGACAACTGGAAATTTCGACTAAAGAAGGATGTTCGATTTTGAATGGTTAGTCTGCTTCAAGCTAGTGTTAGATCATTCCTTTAGCCCAGACAAAATTTGTGTAAATCAATTCGCGCTTGGCAATATCCGGGTTATGTACCACCATTCTCAAGATTTCGGGATTTTGCCGTTTTTTTTTTTTTTACTTTATCATTATACTATATGATCAGCATATATACTATTTACAGTAGTTCCGATTCACAGGACAATAGTACTGTAGTAAGTAAGCATAGATTATCAATAAGTGATCTGCATGGCAAACAAAACTCGCCCAAAATGGCGCAATACTAGTATTTCCCATGCGTAATTGCAAATAAATATCATCGGGTAAAAAGATCTAATCTAATCAAATTATCGTCATCAAAAATTTTTTATAGGTGTCGTTCCACTGAGTGTAACAATGATTATTAATAGCATACTCAAGGGACATACTGTATATTATTTATTTGTGTATTACTTGACGCTCTTAAAAGTGACAAATGCCTTAGAGTTATGTCATTCATCACTTGAGCTGTCATCATCGAACCGGTGCCTGGCTGCCATTCGGCTAGGTGGTACCCGGTACCGAAAGAAGCGCAAAGAGAGAATTGGATATCAAATGCGTTTTTTGTATCGTTTTTTTATCTTGATATCTACAATAATCTTGTAATCAGACTTTTCGCAAATATGGTTCAGATTTAAGTTAATTGATTCCGTTAACTCTAACCTTAAGTTTATAATTCATATCACGTGAAAAGAAACAAAATTACACTAGTATTTAGCAAATTCTTCCTGACTGAATAAAAAGTAATCCAAACTACTAATAAAATAAGATATCAGTTATTTATCTCACAATCTCTGCCAGTCCCCATGAATACTGATATCTAAAAAGTTATGCTGTGTCTGAGTTTGGGACCTGTCTCGGTTCAGAACCTAGTCACTCAGTCTAGAACTCAGTACTGAGATCATGAGATGATTTTTTACGATGCTTGCATAAGCTACACATGTTTACGTACATAAAGAAAATTGACGATATTATTTATTAAGCAAATACTAATACTAACGCTAATATTAAAAATAAATTGATGTATTTTTTGCACGATATAGTAATAGTAACTAAATCAAAAAACATTTGCGTTCTTTTCACTAGATTCTTGAATTGTGGCGTCCCTGACATAGCCCGACACCGTTTGATGGCTTTTATAGAACTATCATCTTTCTTTTGTTCTTTCATCCGATTAATATCATCACGATTCCTCTTGATTTCACGCTTATATTTTTCCTAAATTTTAGTAAACGTCGTTAAAAAAAAAGATCGAGCTAAGAAAAACACTCAAATATGGGGAATGCTTGCAACAAAAACCAGACAAAGTGAATATTCAATTATGGGACATAAATGAGAGGCTGGTGTGGCTGAATGTTACCTAATTTGGCTAATAACATTTTCCCATGAGTGCAAAAGTTTAATAATAATAGTTTTTCCTTTGTTTTGGCAGAAAATTTTTCTCGGCGAGAATAATCTTTTAACCGGAAACCTTTAATAATACAAATGATTTGGGATATTTTCAACATTATCACTTATACACAAATTTATTAAATGGGGCATGCTGCAATAAACCAGACAACGTGAACATTTTATTATGAGAGGCTGATTTTATGATGTGGCTGTAAAATTGACCAGTGTGATTGATGATGTTTTGAAAAGTAATAATGGTACTCATTCATAACTTATGGACTTGTTAATTTTAATGTTCACTTTATCATACCAGAATGTGAATCATAACATGATTAATATAGGATTATCTCTATATAAAAAAATAGTATTATGAAACTAATTTACATTAAATCCACTATGTAACCAAAGAATTACAGCACCATTAGAAGCATTCTAAAAAAAGCTCAAGGAGAAAAAATTGCTCCCTATGTTTTTAAAATCAGTAATACCCAAACTCTCCAGGAATATCTAGATAAAGAAAAACCACTTATGAAATTTACCAAGAAGAAAGGAAAATCATAACTAATAAACAACAACTTATGGTGAACCAAGAAAGAAACGAAAACTTGAAGAAACGTAAGGGAAATAAATTAACGTAAAAGCTTCCCGCCAACACCTCCACTGCTCGAGCGACCTGTCAACAAAAGATCGATAAAGACTGCTTGATCATATTTTGCTACTTTGACACAATTGCAACCAAAAAGTCGAACATGTAAAAGTAATTCAATTTTTTGTAAGCATAAATTTTATTATTTTGATTATTGAATGCGGACTCTTGAAAATATAAATAATACTAAAAGCACCAGAGTGATTGCATGGGAGGAAAATACTCGGACTCAAAGCCATTAATGAGTATAACCTATTCTTTGCTCTGGTGCAAATTTAAATTTCATTATCTTCTTTACCATTACTATCATTAATAATATTATCACTATTATCTATTTCTTTATATTTATGTTCATCCATGAAAACGGGAGTGGTAAAAATTTTTTTCGCTATCTCCACATGTCTAGCAACGACAGTATTAACGATGCGTTGAAGGGAGCGCGGGAGAGCTTGAAGGAGGCGGAGAGCAGACTGGACAAGGCCACCAAGGAAAAAAACACAGAGTTCTGGCAAGATCAAGTGGCGGAGCGCCAGGCGCAAGTGGTCAAGCTGGAGAACGCGCTGTTGGCAGCCGTTCCGGCAGGTAACGATTTTGTGACTCGGGCGTTGGGGACATAGAGTGGTGTGTACATAGGGTAGAGTAGACGTATAATATAAATTCATCAGTGAATTCTTCTTTTTTGTTTGATTATTCAACTGTGTTTGGGGACGTAAAGCTGCTTTTGTAATATTTTTGTGATATTGACTATGTTGCATCAACAAGCGCTGACCTATCTTTACTTTTATTGTATACTTGCTTCCGTTTTTCTTGAATTATATCTCAAGTGAACCGGCCAGTGTTGACTTCTGAATTCGAGCAATTCCAGAGTATGATTTCTTTATGGCACAATGCTCTTATATTTTCATCGCTTATTTGTTTTAAATTTCTTTTTCGTTTAGCTTTCGATGTCATTGTGAAGCCCAAAAGAACACCATTTCCGTGGATTAATATAAGTGAGAGCTCCACTGACAAGCTTAAGAAAAAGATAACTGTAACTTGGGCTGAACCCTGCCGGATTAGCTCACCTTCGCATTTTCTAAATCTCGTATAAGTCGCCGGATATTTTTCTCATTGGTACGATTAATTTCTATCTCGCGATTTAACTCATTCCGTAGCTCTAAGCGAGTTACATAAATGCCGGGTCTATTACTTTAATGGCTTTTCTTCGTAAGAACGCGTTTTTTCTTTCCATTGTATATTTACAAAAAAAATGTCACTGGAGTGAAGATGTTTTCGCATTTATATTATTTATCTTAATTTATTGCAGCAGTAAACGCATAAATAATGCGTACTCTCACTATACATATAAATCCTGATGAGGAAATCGATCTATGGTGTTCTATCAGCCTACCGGTGATCACTCTAATCCTCGGAGCTTATGGAAGGATCTTGCACGGGAAAGATTTCAATTTCCATTCAAGAAAGTGCGTGACTGGCTCATAAACCAGAATGAATGGCAAAAATACGCTCCACCGCCGAAAGATATTCCAAGAGTCAGTTATGGTAAAAATTTCACGTCCAAACTGTGTGCACCAGTGCGATTTTTTACGCCTTACCAATGACAAAGTACATAAAAAATATTTAAATGGGTACTTACCGTCATAAACGTTGCTAGTAGATTTAAATATGCCATTCCTCTAACTTCAAAAAACAGTTCAGAGGTAGCCAAGGCGTTTAAGAAAATTTATGACAAACCGAATGTCCCTCTTACCTGGCCTGATTTATTACAATGTGACGGCGGTAAAGAATTTATGGGTGAAACTTCCAAGTTTATGCAAGAGCATAATGTAACAATACGAGTCATTGGTACATACGGTCATCGTGGCATGGCGATTGTAGAACGATTTATTAAAATGCTTGCGAAAATGTTATACAAAGTTCAATATGCCATTGAAAGTATATCATCAAACCCCAAATTAATAAGAGCATGGGTTAGACACTTATTTAAAGTCCTTGATTATTTAAATAATTATCCAACGCGTCTCATTAGAGCTCCGGAATTTTTGAATAAAATGTATCAAATGTTTAATGGAAAAAAAGACGGGACACGTTTTATAAAAATGACGATCTAGTTTTGATTGGACACCATCTTAAGGAGCCAAAGTATAGACATTTGAGAGATTGTTACCAAATTATTGCGAAAAGTCCAAAGCCATATCGCGAAAATGTTACAAAGATAGTTAAATACATGTGAAAAGTTAAAAATTAAGATTGAATTCGTCAAAATCACAGAATTTATTTGTTGCGACGAGTCAATTTCAATTGCTGATATGGTAAATGACGATGACGTTATCGAAATAGTCTTATCTGAGAGTAATGAGCAAGCTACAAATGATTGTAATACAGTAATAATAACGGAGTCTGTGAGACTCAAAAAAAGATTTTGTTTGAGGTGGCGTTGACCGCTCTTAAAACAATAACAGAGTTTATTGAACAACAGCCAGATAATTCACTTATTGTACGAAAAGACATGATTAATTTACAGCGTTTACGACGTGGTATTGAGTTAAGCAGAGTAGAAAGTCTTAGGTAAGAGGTCTTAGATTGTTTTGTGATAAAATTAGATAATAAAACGAGTAACAAACCGTATAATAAAAAAATAGGCTGTCCTTATACCGGCCAAAAATTCCGTGGACGGGTATAAAGAGTACTAATATGTGACTTCGGAAATTGATTGACAAAAATACACTAGGCGAATTATTGTGAAACTAGTACGTTAAAAATGTTGTATCTAAAAACTATTAATCAGTCTTCAATTTTAAAGAAGAGAAAACCAAGCGAATAACCGTTTTTATAGTGGTTCTCCTATTTAATTTGTGTATTTCAAAATCTGGATTCATTTAATATCGCGCCAATCTTGTATCATATGTTTTCCAACATATACGCATCCAACAGATTATGACTAACCCCAAGGGGTAAGGCTACTGTAACGATACCAATAAGTATCTGATACTGTAACTTACAAACGATAGGTAAAAATGCTAAGGCATGGATTGCTGGGAAAAAATGTTAATGGATTGGCCTGCTCAATCCCCGGATTTGAATACCTTTGGGATCATCTCAAACGTTGTTTGCGCGACCGTTCTGACCCTCCCAGAAATCTTGTAAATTTAGAGGTGCAGTTAAAAGAAGAATGGGAGAAAATCCCGCGAAGAGTCTTCCTCAAATTAATTGATAGTATACTCAACGAATCAAAGCATGTATTGCCAATAATGGTTGGCCAACAAGATATTAGTATTTCATTAAGCTAAGACGAAATAAAAAAAAATTCTTTAAAAATCCGCGCAAACTTATATCTAGGTAGTGTATATCATCATTATAAAGCTATAGCTTTGTGAAGTGGCAGTCTTTAAATTATGGCATAAAAATATATGATTATATGTGTGGAGTACATATACTCTTACTTCCTTGATTCTACAGTTTTATAACAAGAATATATATAATTTACTGTTTATTTTTTTCAAAAAGCACAATTAGCTTCAAACCCATACAAAAACTATTCTCATTCACATAGTACACATGGGCAGGAGAGATATTTGAACAAAAAAGACTTTTTATATGTTTTACTAGTAAAAAAATATGAAATCCGGTGATTTATGGTAGGGCAGTGTATAGCTCAAACATCGATTTCCATTATGACTCCCAAGTGCAGTCTCGCGGTGTTTTCGAAAAAGATGAAGAATAGTATCATAGTCTGGATTGAATGCTCGATCAGAAAGTATTTCCAACAATTCTTGATCGTTCGTAGTATTAAGATACAGTTTATTTCCATAAGCGAACAACGCAGAGGCACCGTCTTTGAATAATTCGACGAGTTTTTCGCGGACTTCACACTTTTGACACGGCAAAAACTGAGTGATTCCGCTGAATTAATTACATGGTTGTGTGTAAATTGTTTCCGACGTTCCAATCGAATATGAATGCTTGCAATACAATCGATACCATGTTCCCGAGGTGAATACTGACGTTTTTTTATACGATTTCCTTGTTTTTTCTTGACTTGGTGGCTATGGATACAATGGCGTAACTCCCCTGTTTCCTGTTATTTTAAAACTCCTTGTTTATTGTTGCGGCATTGTAGTTTTGAATAAGATTCAAATGCTGCCAACCACTCTGATGCTTCTTCTTTGTTACATACGCATCTAACTCGAAATTTTCAACTTCAAAGTTCTCTTGCGTTCGGTATGGTGATAGAATATCGAATCTTTGGATTGAATATGTATAATCACGAGGAAAAACTGGGTTTAAAACATCTGGTAAAAGATTCCAGGAAAAAACTTTATTGATTATAGTCTAGAGCCCCTCTATATAGTACATGTAGTACAAAATAGATATTATGGAGTCCACAGTATATATTGTGTAGTTTCGTTCGATATAGTGGAGAGTCAGAATCATCGGTAAAAGTAAGTGATGCTTTGGAAGGATTAACGAATATAGTAAGATATTTACAACAAAATAATCACACAGGGGTTGAGTTTGTAACGATAAAATGTTAAACATCAAATTCTTCGAAATAATATTGAAAACAAGCAGCAGTCTAGTATTATTAAATACTTTTAAACCAATAAAATTGATTGATTGGCTTACATGTGACGTTCTTTATAGTGTATATCACATGATATATTATTAAATTACACTATACTGATATGGTGAGATTTCTTTTTGGTGGATACTTGTTATAGTGTAGAAATCTGTGGTCTCCACTATAAGGAGAACCACTGCATAAATATCTACATACTGTCATTAATCTTATTTATAGGAAATAAGTACCATAGTCACTGAACAGTTAATTAGTAATAGAAAGTCTGTATGTATGTGATGGAACATAAGAGTCATGAGCATAGAAAATCAATTAATGTGACTGACTGTAAAGGTATTGTTAGCCTTGTTTGACAGTTTAAGTTGCTTATTGTTGAAGTTTAATATTAACCAATATTCTTGCAAGTATAATTGTCAAACAAAGTAAAAAGACTACAGGCTCATAAACAGGTTTTGAATGTTGCATTTAATAAGGTAAATAATAAATAAAATAAAATGATAAATAATAAATAATGTAAACTTTCCCCATTCACATATTGATTCAAGAACCTTTGTTCCTATATATCCCACCCTGAAAATATTTCCATATTAATGTGAAAGAAGGGTTTGATTCCTGAACCTTTGCTAAAGCTGCTGCTACTGCATCTCCTATCTCATTATTACTATTAATATCATAATCAAGGTCTAGAGATGCTAAAGAATTTGATTCCAGAGCCTTTGCCAAAGCTGTTGCTCCTGCATCTCCTATCCTATTACTATAAAGGTTTAGAGATGTTAAAGAAGAATTTGATTTCAGAGCCTTTGCCAAAGCTATTGCTCCTGCATCTCCTATTTTATTATTATAAAGGTTTAGATATGTTAAAGAAGAATTTAAACCTAAACCCAGAGCCTTTGCCAAAGCTGTTGCTCCTGCATCTCCTATCTGATTACTTTGAAGATCTAGAGATATTAAAGAAGAATTTGATTCCAGAGCCTTTGCCAAAGCTGTTGCTCCTGCATCTCCTATCTTATCATTAAAAAGCTCTAGAGATGTTAAAGAAGAATTTGATTCCAGAGCTTTTGCCAAAGCTGTTGCTCCTGTACCTCCTATCTGATTATTCTCAAGGCCTAGAGATGTTAAAGAAGAATTTGATTCCAGGGCCTTTGCCAAGGCTGTTGCTCCTGTACCTCCTATCTGATTATTCTGAAGGTCTAGAGATGTTAAAGAAGAATTTAATTCCAAAGCCTTTGCCAAAGCTGTTGCTCCTGCATCTCCTATCTTATTATTATAAAGCTCTAGAGATGTTAAAGAAGAATTTGATTCCAGAGCCTTTGCCAAAGCTGTTGCTCCTGTATCACCTATCTGATTATACTGGAGAACTATAGATGTTAAAGAAGAATTTGATTCCAGAGCCTTTGCCAAAGCTGTTGCTCCTGTATCTCCTATATGATTAAACTGAAGATCTAAAGATGTCACAGAAAAATTTTTTCTTATACTTAGAGCCTCTTCCAAAACAGTTGTTGCTTTTGCATTTGTAATTTTATTAATAGCTAAATTTAAGGAATATACAGAAAAATTCAATTCAACAGCCTTTGCCAAAGCTATTGCTTCTGTATTTCCAATTTGACGACTACCCAGATTTAATGTGTAAATTGGTGATTGCCTTCCCTTTCTTGGTGGTAACATGCATGTGCTTGGCTTATAACTCTTATCCATATTAAAATTAAGTAAATCACAACACAGCTTTCTTGGCAATAAATCATAATATTGAGTAACCTTGTTAGGGGTGATACTGAAAAATCTTATGTGAGGTATAAAAT